CAAAGTATTTAATTTACATACATTTTTTATTACTATTTCACTGGAATACTTAAATAAATCAAAAAGAATCAAACACATTTCTCTGTTCATTTAGTTTAGGAAAAGCAAAAAGATTAATGTACATTTTCACGAAATAAACTATAACGGGTAAGAAGAAAACTGTTAATATATATCATTTCATAAATGAAAGGTTGCCAACATATACAGTATCTAGTGCCAGTTCAAAAATGTACAGGTAAAGGAATTATATCTGAACAGGTAAATCAAGTTCAAAGAACCTCCAAATTCATTTTTCTCTTTTGAGATAAAGCTGTATGTTTCATTAAGATCTGTTTGATAAATCACCTTTTAAAACTCTTCACTTAGCATATTAATTCAATGGATATTCTTCACTCATTCATTTTATTTGTTCAGCAAAGAAAACTGAGGCCCTACTATTTGCTAAACACTAGGCTAACAACTTTGGATTTATGACAGTAAGCTGCAGGTCATTTCTTGTCCTCACAGAGCTAAGAAAAACTGTGAGTTAACTGCATTTACCCAAGTGATAACGACGGCTAAATTTTAGTTCCATCATTTAAGACCACACTATAAAATGTAATCAGATTAATTCTCAGAAAAGGAAACCATACAATAGTAATTTCAAAGACACTTTAATGGTCTTAATATCTGATACATGAAGTTTTCCCATAAAGTAACCAAAAGCATTGTTTTGGTAAAAGTTCTAATAATATAATTTTTTAATAGTAGTTTTTGCTATGAAAATCAACTGAATTAATCCTCCAAAATCAAAAGCTACTATCCACTGTGATGATGAAATTCAAGCACTTGTAAAAGATACCTTAAATTACTCCTAAAATAAAGCAAAATATGTAATATAGTCTTTTACGATATTAACACATTGTCTCTGAATGTATATTTAAAAACTTGAATAATAAACAAAGTAGCTCCATATCAGACCTTACAAATAATCACACCTATGTGTTTTGGACTGTGTCACCTGCAGATTTTTAATGAAAAAGGCCTTAATATTTTCTGGATATATTATTTGTCACAAATTTAATTCAATGTTCTACTCGCTTTATTATTAAGTCACAATTTTTCTTCAGTGTTAACTACCTATACCTATGTGTTTAAGTATATAAAAGTATTAACAGTAATATCTCTTAAGTCTTCAATTATTAAAAACCCTTGATAGATGAGAAATATTCTTCAATTTAGAAGCATATGTCTCCAAAGCAAAAATCAATGTAAATTAGCCATTGTAGCATGCCAAGGAAAATCCTAATCACGTTTTTTCATTGTATTTTACACTGAAATATTTTCATTACTCATCAGCTAACATATTTAAATTTTCTTTAAAAGCACTTTGAAAACATCTTTACTGAATTTAGCATACTACCAACGGGGGTAAATGAGTACTATCTCTATTTACATATAAGGAAACCAAGGCACAAAGGTATCCATTTTGTAAATTGCAAGGTCACTGCCTAACCAAGCCACTGATTCTACACCATCAACTTATATGTGCGCCACTTCCAAGTGCCATAAAATAATTACTGTACCTTAAAACTGTTTCTGCAATGCCTATGTGCAATTGTTTTATCAAAAGAGTCAATCCAACAAGCTTAAACAAGAAAAGATTGAAAGGGAGGATTACAAAAATAAAAAATGTATTTTTAGAGGTGAATCATTTATTTTTAAATAATGAGATGTAAGTAGTTCTTAACATAAAAATCAAGTAACAAACAGTTGTTTCTTATGTGTTCAAAAAAACATTTCATCTTTCAGGTAGATCATGCAAACTGGAACCTACCCATTCTTGCAGATATAAGTTAGGAAAATTAAAAAATTTCCATAGCAATTAATTAAGTATATGATATTGCAAAGAAAAAATAAAAATAAAATTCAAATAAAGTAGGAAATGATTAATATAGCAGTTAAAAACCTCACCTTAAATATTAAATCCTTCCTTTCATTCAACTGAAGGCTATGATTAGTAATCAAATATTCTGCTACTAAAAAATAAATACAAAACTTTTCTTACTCAAAGCTTGAGAAATTTCATGTCAAATACTTTATTCAAATATTCAATATAAATAAAAATACTTTTCCTAACAGAAACTTGGAGCAAAAGGGATAAACCGTTTCTGAGAGTTCAAACAGAAACTGCATTTGTTATTAAGATATAGTGCTAACAACAATTAGAAAAAAAGTTACCTACCATACAAATTAAATTTAAGAACATTAGCCAGGTTGAATAACCAATAAATCAATTACATCAATTACTTAACAGAAATAAGACTTAGCTAATACGTGAATATAACACCAAAGACAAAAATTAAAATTAAAACCTTATATAGAAAAGGATATGATTAGAGTGAGTCGTATCTAAGTACCTAGTCTAGCTGGGGATAAATTAATCGGTTATGGGACCGGTCGTGAATGTTCAGGTTGGATGTGCTTTCTTTTCATCGTTATTCCAGTTCATCATCCGCAAGTGCAAGAGAAGGTGTCAGAGTACCGAAGCTAGGGGGCATGCTATAGCAAGGGGAAAAGACAAATGGGAAAGGTGCAATGGATGCTGCATAGTTGAATAATTATCTGGGTGGCACAATGGGCGAGTCCTGCCGACATCAGAGCTGAGTGAGCGGCTCCCTAACTCTGCCCAAGGCACCCCCCACTAACAGACTATTAGAAGCGACGGCACTGCTTCGCATCCTCTTCAAACGAAAAAAAGAATGCCTACCCTCGCTTTACCGTTATGTGTTTAGACGCAAACGCACAAGCTTGCTTTACACAGCCTCGGGCACGTAGAGAGAGCAAAGGCTTCTCCGCCACCCGAGGCTGCAGCCTCCCCCAGAGCAAGGAGGCACGCGGGAGGACCGTGGGTGCGGGTGGGCAGGGGAGCCCGGGCCATGGCACCTCAGGTGAGACCCGCAGTCTCTCCGACCAGGGCAGCCTCGGGTTGGTCCCTGTAGCCAAGATCCAGGCGCGCCCGCCGCCGTCTCCCTCGGCATCCAGCCCGGCTAGCGGATGGGCGGCGGGGGCTCGGGAAACCGGCGAATGGGGGTGGGGGCCGTCGCGGGGGAGGCGCGCCCATCCATCCCCGTAACCTTTGCGGGCTAGAGAGCCACACACACCTTTCGGCTCCGGCCGGTGAGGAAGAGTTCCTCTCCCAGTACCCACTCCCCCGAAAAAAACAATTCCTGAGAGACTCGCGCTCACCGTGAAATCTTGGGAGGCTCTTGCCTTACCCCTTCTTCATGCTTCAGCGGCGGTCGCCGGTCCCCCTCAGCTCCCGGGACTCCACCTAGAGCCCGCAGGAGCGTCAGACTCTGGGGCGGGACCCGCTCGGGGCACCGGCCAAGGCGCCAGGCCACGGGGAACGCCGTCCGGGGCGCCCGCCGGCCGCCGGACCCACCGTGTGCTCGACGCGCGAGCGAACAACACCGCGAGCGGCCGCTGCCCCCCACCCGCCCCCTCCCCGCGCGCGACGCTCCAATACCGGGCGCAGGGACCCGCGCCAAAAGCAGGGGGGACCACGGGACTCTCGCCTCCTAATTTCCTATCTTTCCACCCAGGAGCTATTCCTGGCTAGTCATAGGTCTTGCAACTTAAGATTCCCACTTTACTTTCCAGCCCCCAGTGCCCAGGTGCAACCGACGTGGGAAGTACGGCCTCCGCCCACTCACCCATCAGTCGGGGTAAAGATCCCTCTTCCCCCCTTTTCGTGAGGCTCTATGGTATTACCCAATCCTCAGTTTGGGGGAGGGGGACGGAGAGAACAGTGCTTGGCTAGGGAATGAGGGAAGATGATAGCCAATTGAAAGAACCATCCATGCAGGGGCGGGGTCAGAGAGGGACCTACCCTCCCGCCCCGCCCCCTCGCTCCAAACTACATTTCCCATTGTGCCCTCTCGCACTTCCCGCCGCGCTGCACGCTGGGAGTGTGGGATCTCGAGGCCTTAAGGTATTTCGGAAATCGTATTCTTTAACCAAGTAGGTCCTGAAAGTTGTAAGCTCTTAAAACTCTCCCTTCTTCCCTATATAAAAGTTTTGATTCTAATTTCAATTGTTGTTATTCTAATAATAATTAGTTTATTGTTTTAAAATGTTTTAAATGGTTTCTTAGCAAAGGAGGTTAGTAATATGTTTCATGGTAATCTGTCAGGACCCGGGAGTCGCTTCTTCTTCCGCCCTGGCCTGGTCTCCGCAGAGGATTTGGTGCCGTCATGTCGGCTGCGATTGCAGCTCTGGCCGCTTCCTATGGTTCGGGTTCAGGGTCCGAGTCGGACTCGGACAGTGAGGGCAGTCGGTGTCCTCTGCCAGCCGCCGACTCTCTCATGCACTTGACTAAGTCGCCTTCGGCCAAGCCCTCTCTGGCAGTGACAGTGGACTCGGCTCCGGAGGTGGCAGTTAAGGTAAGTGCTTTGGCAACTGGTGCGGTGCGGGAATTGTTGGCTTGAGCTTCAAAACCGCCGGTCGCCTGTTAGGTCCCAGGTTACCTCTTCTTCAGTGCTAAGAGATAAGTTGCTGACGCTTGGCTTTCGTCTCCTACCTACGTGCATCTTCCTCGGGAGAAACCGAGAATCGGAAGTTCGGGATAGCCCTCCACTGCTCCCTGCCCTCGCCTCCCGCCATCAGAAAACAAGCGGGAAGAGGGAGAGAAAGTTGGGTTTATGGATTGAGACGTGGATTGGATAGAGCAGGTGTAATCTCGGAACGTAAATAAAACTACATGAGGATTTACCAAACCAAATTATGTGCCTTCACTTAAAACGAGCATGTTTTGTCTTTGAAGAACTAGATTCTAATCCCGGCACCACCACTTATGTGAAATTGGGCAAGTTATACAATCTCCTCTTTCCTCACTTATACCATGGAGGTAATTTTTAAAGCACCTATCTACATTTGAGGATTAGTGTGAAGATTAAGTGAAATTATACAAATAATGTTTCTAGCACAGAGCCTGGTAACTAGTAAGAGTGCAGTGAATGTTCTGTGATCGTGTATGTCAATATAGTGAGGAAAAGGCCTTGGATTTAAGAAACAGTATGCATGATCCCAATGGAGAAAAGTGATAAAGGGAGAAATCGGGTTATATAGTTCATTTAACAAATATTTATTGAGCACATGTTATTTATCAGGAAATATTCTAAGGGCTGAAGATACTGAAGCCAACAAGCCAGACATCTTTGCAGTTATGATGCATACATTCTAGTGGAAGAGACAGCAAATTAAAAGTTAAAGTGGCTACAGATTGAGTACTCTGAAGGAAAAAAATAGAGTGCCATAATAAGGAATAAGGTAAAAGTGTAATTTCAAAGGTTGGTCAGGGATGTCCTGTCAGAAAAGGTGGCTTTAAAGAATGAGAAGCCAGCCCTGTGCAAGTTAAGGCAAGAGTTTCCAGGTAAAGGGAATGGGCAACCCTGAGAAGGCAAAGAGCTTAGTGTGTTTGAAAAACTGAGGAAAGGCTGGTGTGTCTAGAGCCCGGTGAGAGCATCCACCAGTTGGTAGTGTAGGCCCGTTAGAGCCTGATGTAGGCGATCAGAAGCTCAAGATGTGGAGAGGGCAGGCAGTGTACAGAAATTCCTTTGCAAGATGTTCCCAAGTGTAGTTTCATGACAAGTGTTGTACAGGTTTTTAGTGAGCTGTTTATGAATTTTACTTTTTATTAATAATATCTGGCTTGAAAGAATGCTTAGAATCCTTAGAACTTTATAAGAAAACTTTCCAAACTTATGCCTCTCCCACAGTTCCTGAGTCTTTATTCCTTTCACAGCTCAGCTTTCTGGAGCTCTCTTCACTTCCTCTCATTTTCTCCTCAACCCAATGCAATCTGGCCCTAGCCTCTTGGGAAACTACTCTCCCTGAGCAATGCCCCAGGCCTTCCAGTTGTCAAGTTCTGCCATCTAACTTGAGTGTCTGCATCGAATGACAGTGTTGATTCCTCTTTCTTGAAACTTTCTCTCCCTTTGGCTTCCATGGGGCTATCCTCAACCTTCTGGTCCCCTGTTCTGCCCTCTCCTTCATTATCGGCATTTCCCCGGACTCTGCCCTTAGCCCTCTTTGCACTCCACATGTTCTTCATACTTTCAATCTCAAGTCTGTCTGATAGCTCTCAGGTAAACACTATGAAGTGGTTAGCACAGGCTCTGAAGACTCCAGGATTCAAATCCTGCCTCCAGCACTTACCCACATGGTAACCTTGGATAAGTTCCTTTAAATGCTCTGTGCCTAATTTTTTCTCGTCTATAAAGCAGGAATAACACTAGTACCTATCTCATGGAATTACAAGAATTGTCATAAAGCATTTAAAAATGCACTTTTTACAGTGCCATGCATGCAATCAATACTCATTAAATGTTAGCTATCCTTATTGTTGCCAGTTCTAAACTCCTTTACTAGCTTAAAATCTAACAAATCTGTCTCCTAGGATGGCTCTCGGGCACCTCCAATTCAGTGTGCTGAAAAATTAACAGTTTCTTTCCCTCAAAATCCACTTCTGTTTTCCGCATTTTGATTTATGACCCCACAACCTACCCATTAGTCCAAGACAAGAACAAAGGGGTTATCCGCTTCTCTTCCTTCTTCCTCAGCCCCTGAAGCTAATCATTCAACTGGTTCTAACATTTCTGCTTCATTAACTTCTCTCAAATCAGTTCCTTTCTATTTTCACCAGTACAGCCTTCATATCTTCCTCATTTCTTTCAGGAGTTATTCTTGACTTTTCTCTTTTAGCCTCTACTTTTGGGTAGCGGGTCCTGTTCATTTTAACTCAATGATATTTATCAAATCTCTTTCCTTTTCTGCTGCTACTGTTTAGTTCAGATTCTTATCATTTCTCTTAAGACAGTTGTAGCCTTCTAACTGGTCTTTCTACTTCCTTCTTTCTTGTCTCCAGTTTCGTATTCCTTTCTTTCCTCCACAGTGCACCTAGAATGATCTTTCTCAATTCTGCTTTCATCTTATCACTTCCCTGCCCAAAGATACCACCTTGCCTACTGGATAATTTCTAAGTTCCTTATGTAGCATGAGAGGCCTGCCATTCTCCCATGCAGAACTCTGTACAAAGCCCCAAATGCCTAATTTTATTTTTTCCTCTCAAGATTTTGCTGAAGCTAGTCTCTCTGCCTGGAAATCCCTTGCTTCGTGCCTGCCTCCCCGACCCCAAACTCTATTGTCCTTCAGTCTCAGTGTACATATTTCCTTCTGTGTCTGCCTCAGCCCCTTTATCATATGTCAACTATAGCACTTGCCACATTGCTGTGATTTGGTAATCTTTTTTTTTCCCCTGAACTGTGAGACCCTGGGGCCCAGAGATTGTTCTATGCGTTCATGTCTCCAATGCCTAGTACATAAGATTAAGGGGAAAATATTCTTAGTAAGAGAATGGAATGAAAGAGTAAGTCTTGAAAAGACTTGAAAAGAAAGTCTTGTAAAAGCACTGAGAATCAGTTTTAGAGCTGAGCAGGCAGTAGGAGTGAGGGTGGGAGTGGAGAGGGTGTCCAAAGCTCACTGAGTTCTATCACTTATAAATACGGAAATCCAGGAGGAAAAGTTACATAAGGTACCAGAGGTCCATTGGAAGCAGGCCTGGGGCTAGCACACTCAGGCTAGCCCCTGAGTTCTATGATGAGAGAGTAAAGGACATTCATTGCTCATTGCTGGTTCGTGAACCAGCACTTGCTTATATGAAGAATAAAAAAAGCTTATACATAGTAAATGTAATGATTGCAAATGATTGGAAAATCGGAAAATGACCAAGGGAGATGTAAAGCATGCAAATACATTCATCTGTATTTGATTGTACTGTGATTAATAGCATGCATTTTTGGCAGAGAATAAATTTATGCAGTGTTGTTAATCCATTTTTCCCTGAGCACTGATGAGGTTGAATATCTTTTCATATATGTTATTGGTAATTCGATTTTTTTTTCTTTTCAGAGCAACTGTTGGGTTGTTTTTTTTCTTTTAATTTGTAGGAGATCTTTATATATCCCAGATACTATCTATCCTTTGTCAATTGTGTGTGTTGCAAAAATGTTTTCTAGTTTGTGGCTTATCTTCTTACTCTTTTCCCTATCTTTTATAAAGAGAACAGTTTATTTAGTCTAAGCTTATCAAATTACTCCTTTATGGATTGTGCGGTTCCTGTTTCTTGTTTGAGCAATACTTAAGCCAAAGTCATGAAAATATTCTTCCATATTATCTTTTGAAAGCACTACATCTTTGCTTTTCATATTTAAGTCATTAATCCACATGAAATTAATTTTTGTCTATGGTATGAACGTTCTTAATAATATTGCTTGATATCTGGTAGGGCAGTTCCTCCCTCCCCTTTTGTTGTTGTTGTTCAGGAATGTGGTAGCTATTCATGGCCCCTGTAATTCTATATACAGTTTAGAATTAATTTGTAAAGTTCTACTAACACCCAGGTTGGATTTTGTTTGGGATTTCATTGAATTATAGATCAGTTTGGAGACAGTGTTATATCTATTCATTTGTTTAGGCTGTCTTTAGGTTCTTTTGTTTCTTCCAAAGTTTATAATTTTCTCCATCAAGATCTTGTGCAGTTTTTTTGGCGGTATCTTTAGGTACATATTATTTTTATGCTATTATATTAATAAATAGCATTATTTTTTCCATTTATTTAACTTTCTAACTAATCTTATTACTTACATAGTCATATCAGCTATAAATATGACATTCTTCTTTCTTTCAGTTTTAATTTCTTTTAATTTTTCTTTTGCCTTGCAATGCTTGCTAAGACCTTCAGAAAGATAAAAAATAAAATAATAGAAAAAGGATATACCAGGCAAATTCTAACCAAAAGAATGCTGGTTGTATTAAGATCAGTAAAATAGACTTTAAAGCAGAAAGCATTTACTAGAGACAAAAAAAGTCACAGTATAATGATAAAAGATTCAAGTCTCAAGAGGTATATAACAATGTAAGCTCAAAATATTTAAACAAAAATTGAACTATAATGAGAAATTAATATATGTACACTGACAGTGGGAGGTTTTAATACATCTCTATCAATAATTGATAGAATAAACAAAAAATAATAATCATGATACAGAAAATCTGAACAACAAAATTACTAAATTGTATCTAAAGGTCTTATGGAACGTAGCACTCAACAGTGCAGAATATTGTTTTCAAGCACTAATATAACATTTTTTAAAAACTGACCATATACTGGACCAGGGATTGGCAAACTTCAGTAAAGAGCCAGATAGTAAGTATTTTAGACTGTGCTAGCCACATAAAATTTGTCACTCCTTCCTTCCTTCCTTCTTTCCTTCCTTCCTTCCTTCCTTCACTCCCTCCCTCCTTACCTCCTTCCTTCCCTCCTTCATCTTTTTTTTTTTTTTTTTAAACAACCCTTTAAAAATGTAAATACTGTTCTGAGCTT